ACACATAAAAACATAGACTTCATCACCACAGCCAAGTCCACTGCTCCTTGATTCAAGTGAATTGTTCACACTAGACCATCAGTATTGACAACAAAGTTAAATCAACTGCAAAAAGTGTGACTGACCGTGACATATCCTGCTGTTGTAATCTACAGTTACTAATTCAGGCGGCTATCCTCTCCAAAATGAAGGTTTGCTGCAAGGAATCTCTGACACTGTCTCTCTCTGATTTATAAGAGACTGTTTGTTTATCGTGCATCTCTTGATGTTACCAACTTAACTGAAAACTGCCTTTGTTTCGCCTCGTCTCCCTCATCGGTTGCTTTTATTATGGTATTCATAAGTGTTGTGTCTTACTTCTTCTTCTTCTTCTTCACCTATTCTTTTACCACTGTGGGTGTCGAGGGAGATATAAGGTTCTGTTTCTAGCTCTTCTGGCCGCCTCGACCATAGGCACACCGTGCTGTTGTAGAGTTTCTCTGATGTTATCCTTCCATATTGTTCTTGGTCTACCTCGTGCTCTACGTCCTTCTTCTCTTTCCATGTATGCTTTGTATGGTATGGTGTCACAAGGCATTCTATCTAAGTGGGCAAACCATTTCACCTGTTGTCTTTGTATGTAATCCAGAATTGGTTCTGTGCCGACTTTTTCTCTTATGATCTCATTCCTGATCTTATCTCTATGGTCACTCCTACAGCCCTTTTCAGACATCTCATTTCCGTGGTTACTAATTTTCTTTTATGGTTTGTTGTGAGTGACCATGTCTGGCACTGGTATAGCACAGAGTTGGAATAAATATGCTTTGAATAAGATGTCTCTTTGTGCTGATTGAGATTGTCTTATGCTGTAAGAGTGGAGCTAGCTGTCCCAATACTGCACCTAATGTTAATTTCTTTATCCAATTTTCCATCTTCGGTAAATGTAGTTGTTGTGTCTTACTGTGGCGCAAAATTGCACTTATTTCTTTTCTTTTTTATGTATACTTCGTTAACTTTTCTTTTTACCGTAGTCTCTTGAGAATGGCTATATCTGATAGTTAGCTAATGATTTCTCACAAATCACTGAACCTGCTGATATATTTGTACAGATCAATCGGTACTGGGTAGATGATGTGGTCAACATGACGCCGGCCACTGTTACTTCCTATGGCTTTACCTCTCTATTTAAGGCTGGGTTCTACCTATGAGGCAAGGTCGTTTTTGAAAAACGTCCGGCTTCGCCAGGATCTGAACCCACGGCCTTCGAGGCCGCAGTCAAGCATTTAGCCACTGCACAACAGCGTTTCTTTTAAAGTAGCCGAAACATTTCCGATTTTTCCTTTAAATTTCTTTCATGAACTCTCCTTTCAGTTCTAGTCTGGGAACCGCTGGGTCTGATAATTAGCAATTGCTGGGTCAAATTTAAAAATTAAAAAAAAAATCTTTCTCTAAGCCTGTGAACCTGTTAACACCTGACAAAATGCAATCAGTGTGACCCGGACGAGATGACCACCGTGTAAAATTCAATTCATCCGTGAGAAGACAAGAGGGAGGGGTGTGCTGAGGTTACTGCGTAATATCACAGTCATTTGATAAAACAGGCAGTTAGTACCTGATTGCTTGACACCAGGTGCAAAATTAACTGAAAAAAAAAAAAAAAATCCACCAGTATTGAAGTCATTAAAAGAGATTACTATATAAGGACTTGGACAAATAGAATTCTTTGAGGAACGCCAGTTTTTCTTTGCCCTTTGTGGTTTTCGACGGCCAGGTCAACGCAGGTCATTGCGCAACAAAGTGAACGAAGCCGACTAGTTATCACCGATACAATTTGGGAAATAGAGACTTTAAGGCGTCAGTCAGACAATAATGATGCGAAACATAGTTTGTTTTGCAGTAGTAAGTTTTCATCGGAGTAATTGTAATTTTGCACCATGCACATTTTCTAAGTCGGCAACTGCGGCTTGAGCGTTGCGGCTCCTCTTAATGAATGAATGTTAAGTTGCTAGGTTCGATCCCAGCTGTCAATAATATGACAGTAGACTGCTTTGCTTTTGTTTCAACTCTGGTATCGAGTGTTGACCGTTTAGAACGCAATAGCAGAGTACAGATCGTTAAATTGCTTAGGGAAAAAAAAACAGAAACAGCAATTCCCCTACCCCCTTCCCCCCCCCCCCCCCGAATTGTGGGGTTGGTTCTTTTTTCTTAGGGTTGGTTCTGCAACGTCCTGTAAAGGACACGCAACTGTTATGATGGAGTGGCATTTATTGCTCCAGTCTGTGAAGTAACGGGTGAAAACCACAAACTGATTATAAACATCCAGATTTCTTTCGGGTCAAGTTACGAAGAGAAAACAATGTTGCGTAATGCCATATTAAAAACTTGGCTAGACAATTACGAGGGGACGTCGATGAGATTTTTACAAAATGGAGGTTGTGATCACATGGAATAAGCTTGACGGTATCAAGGACCTCATCAGTGCATATCGTGATCGTGTGAAGTGGCATCAGAAGAAGACGGTGTAAATTCTTTGATCACATCCTGAGTTTCAGATGGGATACCCTCACAGAGTACGATTATGGACAGGCCTCATGATGATGGTGAAGATTTGTCTATAAGTGAACGGTTGTCAAGAGATTGTATGTTTTAGTTTGGACATATGTCAAGACTACCACCAGACATTGCACCAGAGACAGCCGTGTCTCTTAGACATAACAGAAGCAAATTAAGGGGTCGACCATGCAAGCGATGGATATATGAAATTTCCGAGGCCGTAAATAGTAGTATATACGTAGCATATACCAAAGCTATCATGCGATGACTCTCCAAAACCTGACTCTGAAAGGCAGTATAGGACTAAAGGCGAAGGATAAGAAGAAGTGTGTTAGAATCTTATGTTGAGTGAAACTATGTTTACCTAAGAAAGTATATCACAAACATGACTCGCCTAGAAAGCTTTGTTCTAGGCAGATTTCATAGAAAATCTTTGGCTTAATTTATCTGTTGACAGAAAAACTCCGCAAAAGCCAGTGAATTTCGTTCTTTGTGTGACGCTCTCTCTTGCGTCTTCTTCCTGTGAAAAGAGATTGACACATATAAGATAAAACATGAATTAGTAAAGCTGACTCTTGTGCCTTTAAACACTTTTTATTTTGAAAAAAAAATAGAGAGTCGATGCCATTTGGTCGACAATTATTAGACATATGTACATTACGCTGGGATTGTTCTAGAGAGAGATAGAGAGATGGAGGGAGTGAGAGCAAAAAAGTTGCTGGTACTAAGAACGATGCCCAAATGCTTCGACACAACATGGAAAGCAGCAGTTAACATAGGCACAGAGACTTGAGAAAAATCAGCTCAAGATCAAATAGTCTGGCGACAGAAAGTGAAATATGGACTGTCGCATTTTGAAAGAAACCAAGCACAGCGAGCTATAGAGAGGAGATCCCAAAGATACAATCCGCCTTATAGCGAGAGAGTATCTACTTTTGTGTGTATCCTATTTGACAGAGACTGGCACTACAGTACAGGGGAAAGCATTCAAGAAGCTTGCAGTGATGAAAAAATTAGCAAGTACCACATGGGGCGCTAACTCCAGAATCCTAAAACAAGTATATACTGGAGCAGTCAGGCCAGTCATGGGATATGCCTCCACTGCATGGGCTGCAGCAGCCAAGACAACAATGGGAAAACTGGACAAGGTTCAGAATATGGGATTAAGGATTGTTCTCGGAGCCATAAAAACCACCCCCATCAGAGAGATAGAGAGGATAGCAGATACTGAACCACTCGGACTCAGAAGACAATGCAAAACTCTTTTACAGTATGAGCAATTTAAAAGATTTGAAAGTCACCCACTGCATTTTAAATTTCAAAAGAGAACAAAAAACAGACTGAAGCGTCAGAGCCCCAACCACCCTGCTAGAGAACTGTACAGACAGCACCGAGATCTGCTTGAAAGAGATGTAGCACTGTGCGAAAAACTTATGCCAGAACCATGGACAAGCAAGCCAGAGAAAACAAATGTAGTCCTAAAGGTACCAGGGATCACTTCAAAAGATGCTCAGAGGGAGACACAACAGAGAACCATGGCTCTTGCTATGCTTGATGAGAAGTATCCAAACACCACTTGGACTCAGGTTTTCACCGACGGCTCTGCTATAGATGCAGTCAGAGAGGGGGGTTGTGGAATATACATTAAACCCCCTAACAGTAGAGCAGAAACTCTCTCTCTCTACCAGCAGGTGACATCTGCACTAACTTTAGAGCTGAGGCAACTGCCCTCCTTTCTGCAGTCCAACATCTCATCACTCAAGAACACAGAGGGCACAAAATTGTTATACTTAGTGACTCATTGTCTGTTCTCCAAGCACTATCAAGAAAAAAAACAAGACAAACTAATTGCAGATCTAAGGACCAACATTGGCTTACTCTCCAAGGAAGCAGAACTGGTCTTGCAGATGATTGATGCCCACTGTGGTATTCAAGGAAAGGAGAGAGCAGATGAGTTGGCAAAAGCTGGGAGTTATCTTCCACAGCCTCATCTACCACACAACTACAAGGAAACCAAAACAACGCTAAAGCAGTCTTTAAGCGGGAGCGGAGAAGGCAGAATGGAGATTACAGACCAGAGAGTGACAGCATAAACAAACTCAACAAGAAAGAACAAACATCAATTTTTAGACTTCGGATTGGGCACTGTGGTCTTCGAGCACACCTGTACAGGATAGGCATAAAAGAATCTGCTGCCTGTGTTTGTGGAGCAGAAAGACAGACCCCTGGGCACATACTACAGTAGTGCCCTTACCTCTCCAAGCAGAGACTTCGGATCTGGTCCAAGGGAGCCACTTGCGAGAGAAGCTATGGGAGACCGGTGGCGACCTTAAACGCACAGTCCTATTTGTGACCCAGACGGGACTGAAATGTTTAGCATGATTGATGTCGAACGCAGAAGAAGAAGAAAAAGAAAAAGAAGAAGAAGAAGAAGAAGAAGAAGAAGAAGAAGAAGAAGAAGAAGAAGAAGAAGAAGAAGAAGAAGAAGAAGAAGAAGAAGAAGAAGAAGAAGAAGAAGAAGAAGAAGAAGAAGAAGAAGAAGAAGAAGAAGAAGAAGAAGAAGAAGAAGAGACTGGCACTACCGCATCGGACTTTACATTAACAGCAGATGCTGTTGACAAAGCCAGAGGCAAATCTCCATCCATAGTCCCTAGAGATTAACGGGTGCCATTATCAAATCACCACAAAATGTCTAAAATAGCTACACCTAGGACATGATATCACCATTGATTCCTTCAACAGGTGCTGGTTGTAGCAGATCTGTACCTTACATCTGGCAGATTTGTTAATTACGTCCCAAATGATCGACTTGAGGATGCCAAAGATAAAGTGTCTGTTGGAGATGAACTGACTGCTCTGGAAGACGAGAGTCTTGATTCTGGGGTAAGTAGAAGCATTTCCAGTGTCTCCACAACTGAAAGGTAACTAAAACCAGTGAAACGGTGGTAGTTCAGTGACTAGCACACGCATCTGCCTGCCCGCCTGGTTGTTTTAGGGTTCTAACCCAAGCGAAGGGGTGTTTTTAAAACTTACTATTAGCTTCCAAGTCAACGCAGCTGAAAATCATTATTGTATACATAAACACACACACACACTCCTCTCGTATATTCTATGTTTTTGTCTTTATGATTGGGAAGGGGGGGGGGGGTAACTAGACCCGCTGCCAAACAACAAGCATGTCGTGAAAATCCAATCATTATGGGTTCGCTGAAAGAGGATGTGATTGACCGAAATGTTCAGACACCGCAGCCATGCTAAAAGCCACATTACAATGTGGTGGTTGATGTCTTCAATATCTGAATGAGGGATCTTCAACCCTACCAGGACCGTTCAACGAGCGATAAACACCCCGTGACACCTGGTGCGACCATTCGGATGAGAATCACCTGAGCGCAAATTCCAGCAACAGTGTTTAACCAGTAGGTTATATTTAGGGCCCTGATGACAGCTGGGGTAGTGCTTTAAAATAACAGAACACTGCCTCTCACGTCGAGACGTGGACTACAGTGCTAAGGTAGAAAACAAACACACACACACTCACACACACACACACACACACACACATACACACACATATATATTTTTATAAAATGCTGTGCACAGACACACACACATGCGCGCGCGCCAAGACCCACACTCACACACTCTTATACGCACACACACATGCACACTATAAAGCACAAATGTTTTCCTGTGGCTTGTGTTTACATGCTAATAGGTTAGTTGCGTATCCTTTACGGGACGTTGCAGAACCAACACCAACAGCGCCTGGCTGTTGTGTGGTTTTTTGGGCAAATTTATGTCCAGTAGTTTGCCATTGCTCCCTAGACGGTCGGTTTTCTTGATACCAATGTCGAAACCAACGCAAGGCGCATGGCCTACAGCTGGGATAGAACTCAGCATTACGAAGCGTTCGCATCGACTTACCCACAGAGCTGACTCACATGTTAAAACAGCTGCTAAATTCTCCCCAACCTTGATCACTAGACGGGTTAGATTTTCAGCTGCAATTATAACTACAATTTTTAATTGTACAGTCACACTGGCGGCAATGTGTGTATTTTTTTAATTTTTTATTTAATTATTTAATGTAACAATCGGTAAATATAATCTTTCGTTGCATCTATATCAATCAATCAATCAATCAATCAATCAATCAATGAGTTCTTGTTATGCCTAGTGGTACATGAGGCTTCAGAGAGGACTTTTCATGCGTTCCTGTCCTGCGCAATCTTCAGTGCAGTTTTCCATGTCAAAGATGCCGCACTCAGGTCACTTTCCATCGTTCGTCTCCATGTTTTTGGGCGCCCATGTTTTCTCTTCCCCTTTGGTGTCCATGTGAGAGCTGTTTTGGCGGGTATATCAGGATTCATTCTCATAACTTGGTCAAGCCATTTCCATATTCTCTTGGTTATCATACTGTCTAAAGTTTCTTGGTTTGTGACTTGAAGTAGTTTAGTATTTGAGATTGTATCTGGCCAGACAGTTTTGATAATTCTAAGTAGACATGTGTGGTGGAAGGTGGACAGCTTGTGTGCATCCTTTTTGGTCATTCTCTAGCATTCCGCTCCATAAAGAAGAACTGGCAATATGTTGCTCTTGTAGAGTCGGAGTTTCGTTCCTCTGCAGTAATTGTTGGATTTCCAGATTTGCCTCATCCTTCCAAAAGCAGCTCGAGCTTTGTTCAGACGTGACTGTATGTCCTCTTCGGTTGTATCTATATACTTCTGAATATTTATGTTCTCTTACATCCCACACAGTAATATTTCATAATTGCATTTCCTTAGTGTCTCCCTTGGAACTTAGTCTGTAATATAGGACCGTTAGAGGAGGTGATTGCTTCATCGTTCAGATTTTGATCGGCTGCAGAATTGTAACCTTGAGTCATGGACCGAGTCAATGCCCAGAGTTAGCGGTAGCGCTATGGAAAGTACTGACCCTCGAGGCTCCTAAGACCCAGACAGTGACTCCAGCGCCAGACCCACAACCTGTAAGAAAAACTGTTGCTACAGAAAATTATGAGATGTGACGAACAGATAAACACCAAATATGCCCTGAAATGGAATATTGACGGTTTGAGGAAACGAGGTTGTCCAGACGAAACTCAAAGACGGAACCCTCATGTTGTGCTCTCTCCTTCGTATATTTTCTACCACACAAACAACAGCGGTGAAGACTAAGATGAGGTAGTCTGCTAGAGAATAAAACTTTTTTTCGTTATCTGAGTGAAACCGGGAAATTAAATTTAGTATGGTATGACTTCAAGAGTGGTAAAGAAATCAGAGAAATATCTGGGCAACACTTGTATCATCTCGTATAAGACAGAAAAGATGTCGCTAAATTGAACATCCCCTGCGAGGAAAAAAAAAAACGAGCAGAGAATGTGTGTGTGTGTATGCGTATGTGTGTACGTGTGTGTGTGTTTGTGTGTGACAAATAGGGCTCGCAGCCAGTCTGTTCAACAATTCCGTTCTACCCGTTCTTCAGTCAGTCTGTTCAACAATTCCGTTCTACCTGTTCTACAGTCAGTCTGTTCAACAATTCCGTTCTACCTGTTCTACAGTCAGTGCAATATCCTGGATATAATCCTGTGCATCACTTCAAGCCTCGCCAATTAATGTTCCCCGGTGATTCTCTGCTCTGTATGAACAAATTGTAACCAATTAGGCCTTTTCACGCTTTGTGAGCACACGGCGATGTGTTCAGTATCAAACACACATACACACAGCACACACACATTGAATATCTAGCTTTTCTCTCTCTCTCTCTCTCTCTCTCTCTCTCTCTCTCTCTCTCTCTCTCTCTCTCTCTCTCTCTCTCTCTCTCTCTCTCTCTCTCTCGTATATATATATATATATATATATATATATATATATATATATATATATATATATATATATATATGCACATATCACTAGATTCAGAGTGGGAGACAAGACATTTGACAAACTGGTTGTGCCTTTTGTCTAGTACACAAAACGGTGTTCACTCAACTGCAGTCTCTGTCCTTCGGTTTGCCGGTGCACGTATTTAGGAGGTCACAGAGATCGTCACTGGGGTTCTGAAAATTATACTTTGCTTCACACTTTCGACAGGGCAAATCGATATGTAAAAAGAGACCCCGCCCCATGTGATAAAATGAGTACATTCTCTTTCCTTAAAAAGCCCTAGTTTTAGGTAAATATGATAAAATCTAGATTAAAATTAACGATCATCTAATTTGTGTAATATAGATAAAATAAAGATATATGTTTAGCAAACTTCGACCAAGACGTCCTGAGAATTGGCATTCTAGGGTATTTTCTCAGGTAAATGGGGTATGGTGAGAAAAGAACAACTAGGCAGACTGACTGATTCTGCGCGGCTTGATGGTAAATTGATGCACTTCAACTAGATGTGGTTAATTAAATTTAGAGATAGAGTGAACGGAGCTGAAGTACATATAAATCACCCTGCTGTGGACGGAATGTTGCAGCGGGGAGTGACGAGGGGATAATGCCAAACCCCCAGCACTCAGAGGAAAGGTAAGACGGATATACGGTCGACCAAAATTGATGTCATCGGAATTGGAACTCTTCGTTTGCTGTCGAAGATGGGGACGGGGCGTTTCTGAGAATATCCCCTAGTGTTGCAATGTCAATTCTCAACTTACCTCAGCTGAACTTAGTGGAAATGATTCACTCTTGTTCTTCATTCTATGCTAAAGTAAATTATGTTGTGGGCATTTAAATAGATGCAACTGAATATGCTAAGCAATACACAGAAGTTACTTTCACTTTGACTGGGTATCTATACTTTGCACTTTGTACTCTACTCACAGGTCACAAAGAACAGCAGAAATCTTCTGAATCATCTAATTCCGACAAGGGAGAAAAGAAAAGCCGTAAAAGATTCCTCCAGGCGCTGGACAAATAATGAGATTCCATTTGAAATTGATTATTTCCAGTTCAATAAGGATGAAGTGCAAATAATTTACGACGCAATGTATATATGGCAGCATCATACATGTCTTAGGTTTAGGCCTCGCGAAACGCACGACAGAAATTTTGTCAAATTCATGAAAGGCGAATTTTGTTATTCTACTACCCATGGAATGAACGGTGGACAGCAGAATATCTCACTTCCTCAAGTTTGTTTCAATCGACAATCAACTCTCCATGAAATTGGACATGCAATTGGATTCTATCATGAACACAAGCGCCCTGACCGAGATCAGTATATCACAGTACATGAAGAGAATATAGAAGACAAATTTAAGTACGCTTTTGAAAAATCGAATGAGATTGAAACGTATGGCTTGCCATATGATTATACAAGTATCATGCATTATCCATGGAACGCATTTTCAAAGAACAATGAAATTACCATTCAGACAAAGGATCCATCTTTCCAAAACATTATTGGCCAGACCCAAGACCTGAGTTATTATGATATTCAGCTTGCCAACCTGATGTACAACTGTAGGTAGAAATGCTCTTCCCCGATTAGATGTTCGAGTTATGGCATCGCATTGTCCGTTGCAGAAATGGTGTCTAGATTAAAAAATATGTATCTCAGCAACCGTTAATTGTAAGCTGTTGAAATTTGGCATGCGACCTGTTAATAAAAATTGTCCTGACAAGAAATTGTTGTTGTTGTTTTGTGTGTGTGGGTGTGGGTGTGGGTGTGTGTGTGTGTGTGTGTGTGTGTGTGTGTGTGTGTGTGTGCGCGCGCGCGTGCGCACAAACGTTTTTGCAAATGTAAACAAGCATTTTGCAAATGTAAACAAACATTTTTGCAAATATAAACAGGCGTCTTAGCAAATGTAAACGAACATATATTTTGCATTTTACCTTATTTTGGGCATGTGTGTAAAAAAAAAAAAAAAAAACATTCAAAGCAAACAGTCAGCCTGATTTCGGTTAATAAGTAACAGAAAGTTTTCAAAACATCAAATTACACACACTTTATTAGCGTTTTGCTCTCATGTGGTAACCTCCAGCTTAAGTCTCTCGTGATTTGTGAATTTTGCATAGTAAAAGGTCAGAATAATCACCACGCATCGCGGCACATGAGAAATTATTTCCCAAATTAGAATAATCACCACGCATCGCGGCACATGAGAAATTATTTCCCAAATAATCTCCACATTTGTGTCAAATACTGTATATTTTTTGTTTGTTTGGGTTACACAAAGTATTTGTCAAACAAAGATCGAAGGAATTCGCCGCTTAAAGAAAACAGCAGTAGCTGTCTGATAGTCTGGTAGTCTTAGTTTCAGCTTCATAGCAAACGGGTCGCTCCTGTGCCAGCAAGAAACACCCAGAATGTTTATCACAGTCCCTTGTGGAAAGATTGACAGACTGCTGTCTCAGCATACACTCGCATTAAAGCATATGGTAGCCATCCGAAGTGCTAACACAAACAGTCCAACATTAGAAATGCAGTTCATCATTGATGATAGCAGAACTTGATGCCAACAGATCAGCAGTTGCCCACGCGATCAATTTTAATCACATACGGGCACCGCCAACATTGCACGACAGGCATTGCGACATTTTCTGAATCTACAATTCACACCACGTTGATCACAGTCGAAAAAACATTCCAAATGCAATCCGCAGCTCACAGGGTCACACCATGCTTTCAACTCAGAAGCTGGGCGACGAAACTATATCCAGTCTACAAATGGAGCAAAAATGCATCGGCCACCGTCCGGCAGAGCAAAAAATTTGCCTCTGCTCCGAACAGCGCCGCTGTCTAGCGTCCATTTTAACCCGAAGTAGCTGTGCAACTGTGCATTATAAAATAATAAAAGCATAGAAAATGTAAGGCCGCATGCAAATATCGTGTTGATCCTTATAATAATTTTCAAAATATTAGTCAAAGTGAGTGTGAGAGCATGACTTAGGAAACTCGCTATGGGGTGAAACTGTCAATGCTCGTATCCCGGATACGAGGTTCAACAGTACTAATAATACCAAGGCACTGAATCAGCGACCCCCCCCCCCCTCCCCACCCCCTCCTCCAACTCAACATTTGTGCCAAACGTTTTTAAATAGTCTGTGTGGCAGAGACTCCCTTCTTAAAGGACTTTACAGTCACAGAAGACTCTTGTTTCCAAAACCGACGACAATCTCTGTGGTTCCTTGGGACTAACAGTTGCCTACGTGGCCTTCTCCAATTTTGGAGTGCCGTGTTTTTATGCTTCCAATCTAATTTGATTTCTGTACCTATTCGCCCAATTTCACACACACACACACACACACACACACACACACACACACACACACACACACACAACCACACATCTACAAACACTAATAAAGTAAAGTATCAAACATTTTTTTTTAACTAATTCCTTTTAGTGTATTATGGTATATTAGTATGTGTGGCACATAAAAAGTACTGTCTTGCAGTTGCATTGTTTTTTTTTTTTTTTTCTTGTTGGTACTTTTCCATCTTTTGAAATAGTAGTATTATATTTTTCTACATGGAGGCATAGGAATCACACTCTTTGACGTTGGCAAGTGTGACTGACAAGACCTGCTCGTGTTAAGAAATGTCTTCCGCAAAAGGAGCAGAGGTTTTTAGGACCACGTGTTTTTAAAAGTATCTTCTCAGACCCTCAGCTTTTACCCTAACTGCAATCATTTTCTCCTGTGTCCCTACTTGATTTCTGATTTCCCACTTCCATGCAACTTGGTCCGTGCCATCCTGTTCCAACGTAGTTATCCCAGTATCAGTATCACAGAACGCGATGAGAGTATTTCTGTTTCGTTGAAAATCATTTGTCACTGAAAAGACTGCATACCCCGGGTGTACCAGCTGGAGCCGAGGAACGGGAAACCATGCGTGAGCCACCCGTTGCCACATCAACCAGAACCGAATGGGAGTTGTTAGCCCAAAAACACTTGGAGACATACCCGGGAAGAGATGGGAGCACTTACGGTCATGTCCGATGTGGGATGAAGATGATCTTTTAAATGAACAATGAACGAAGTACCTCAGTAGCTTGATCATTCATGTATCAGTTGCACACATATTTATACTGAAGTGAGGGCCGATCCTGACACCGTTTACCCATCTGCATTTCCTCCGAGAACTGCACCATGCCCATAAGCGTATTGTTGTATCGTGTGTGTGTGTGTGTGTGTGTGTGTGTGTGTGTGTGTGTGTGTTTTGAAAAAGGAAAAAAAAGGGGGGGGGGGTCTATTTACGTTTTACTTTGTGTGTGTGTGTGGGGAATAACTATGAATTGAGGATCGACGTAGACAAAACAAAGGTGATGACATTCTCCAGAAAAGAAAGAGCAACAAATTTCCACACTGATAAACATCAACTGACTGACGTTTTACCCCAGTAGGACATCACACTGAGTGATAAACACCCGGTGACACAAAGTGCCAAAATTAGGATGAGGATCACTCGTGGAGAGGTTCAACCGCTGGTTATATTAGGGCCCCCGGCAACAACCAGGGGTGGAGCATCACAATAACGAAAAAATCGTCCCACTTGATGACGGAAAGCAGCTGAAGGAAGCAGGCTGACAACAATTATGCAGAACAACCAGTCACGTTATGGGATAAATGGCACCAATATTGAAATACCAGCACATGAATAAATTAGCATTTTTCAGCATGATATTCTTACCAGCATTATGCTATAGGTGTCAAACTAGGACATTATCTTCAGAAGACAGAAGAAAATAGGACAGAAATAAAATGTTTGCGTATCATGCTTGGCGTAAGAGGGAAAGATCGATTTAAGAACGATGGTATCGGGGGGAGAGTCGGTACAGAACCAGTACTGAATTTTATCGGTAAACTACAGACCAAATGGTTTGGTCGGTGACAAGACTGACAACAGACAGGACACCACAGACACTAGTCCAGACACGAGATCTTCTGTGTAAAGTCTAATAAGTCAGGTAAAAAATAAATAAACTACACTCACCACAAGCCCTAATCTGAAGCAAAGCAACTGAAACTATAATTATCACATTCACATCTATTTATTTTACTGAACATCATCTAAGGTCTTCACAAATAATAATGCATTACAATTCACAACGTGTTAGAAAATACCCTACAACAGATGGAACCTATCTTTCTGCCTACACACCTCAACCCGCGTTGCGTAAAATCATTGAACGCAACAGACAAATCAGAACTACATGTTTCTTGTCCGAAAACTAGAGGCTTAAGAGAGCTAAAATGGTCACTCCCGTCTGTTTTATCACTTTCTGACCCCCAAGTTGGCCCTTTTTTTTTTAGCTTGCTTAAAGAAGCCTAATTTAATTTATATAACAGTCGTCCAGCGCCTGTTTCATATAGATACAGTTGTAACAGAGCAGTGGCCCGCGGAAGTATAGGAGACACGGAAAAAAACTATATATGAAGCCAACAGAACGGTCAGTTCCAGATATCCCTTCCAGCACTATCGCTGCGAGACAATCCAGGAGCAGGTAAAAGCAGATTTCATTTAGCCTTATTATTGTACAGTGTATCTTCTGCTCGCTAGCGTAGTTGGGTAAATCTGACTTCGCGGCGACCGGAATAGTAGTGTGTCTGGTCTCATCAGTTGTCATACCCTGACTGTTAGTTTAAACTAATCTCTTTTAGTTTCATTTTTAGTGATAGTACATTTTACGATATTCTGGTTAGTGCGCTTATTTGAAGATTATAGGGAGAAAAACAGATAAACAGGTAGACAGACAGGCAGACTGACGGACCGGGGTCGGACGGATGGATGGAGAGAAGGTACAGATCAAATCTCTAGAATTGGCGAGATCCCCTGACCCACCCAATCTCTCCCCTCCCCCTCCTTTCAGTCCCCAACATCTACACCTTGTCGTTTAACCAAACCTCAATTAAAAAATAGAAATGCAACGAGGACATGGACTTCACCTCAAGTGACGTGCCTATAAATTACATATAAAGAAGGCTTCTATATGTAAAGATATGCGTTTTTCTGGATCAAGCTGGCACATGAAAGACAATAAAAACGTGCCGTCGAGGAAGGAAACAATGGAAATAAGAGGAAATTGCAGGTATTTAAAAAACAAAGCTCAAATAAGTCATGAATACACATATCTATAAATGTAAAGAATACAACAACATAACGAAAGCTGTAAATTATTAAATAGAATGATGAACTCATGGGATGATATTCGCAATTGTAATAATAATTATTATACTAAGCATACTTGTGATAGTGATGATGATCCTAAATTAAAAGAGTAACAATGTATAATTCAACTAGTAGTAACAACATGTATCATAGCTCGCTAATACACTGGTAAAATTGCCAGTTGACATTATGACTACAATGTTTAATTTACCGGTCACATTGGCGGCCCAGGTTATTTTGCCTTTCTTTATCTATTGCGATAATAACAGTAAACTTTCACAGTTATCTCCCATGAAACCACGCAGTGACCAAAGATACGGCAGCGATCGAGATAAAGATGAAGTAAAAGACGGGTCA